AAGTCTCCTGCCTCAGCCTCCCAAGTAGCTGGGACCACAGGTGCCCGCCACAACGCCCGGCTATTTTTTGGTTGCAGCTGTCATTGTTGTTTGGCGGGTCCGGGCTGGATTTGAACCCACCACCTTAGGTCTATGTGGCTGGCGCCTTAGCCACTTGAGCCACAGGCACCGAGTCTGACTGTTGATTTCTAACCCCAGCCTGGTTCCTGTGACCTCCAACTTGTCTCACATCCTCTCCACTACTGCTGTACAAAGGTGATACAGGAGGAACACGGATCTACAGTTCTGAGGAGGGGTGGGAACCACTTGCAGTTGCTGTCCTCACCTGCCCTTTGGAAGGCAGATCTCAATTTTTACAGAGCAGAACCAGAAGTGACAAGGGAATTACATTTCCAAATGGCTACCTTAAAGGGTCATCCTTACCATGGGCCAGCTCCCAGTGATTCCTGGGAGACTCTGGCCCATGAGGAAAGTCAGAGTCTCAGGAACGTGTAGCCAAGGAGGCCCACAGATACACTGCTGTCCCAGAACAGTGGCAGTGCAGGGAGCAACAGCCCTTTGTCCACGACTCTCTGTAAGCCCACAGCTCAGGCCTCTAGTACTGAGTCTGATATGCAGGATGACTCGATTGAACAGTTGCCCGACAGCTTTCAGCTCATAGTTTAGAAAATCCTGTGGTGTATTGCTACCCCCTGAACACAAAGAGCCCCTGTGAAAGGCTAGCCAGGCCAGAACAGACATTCACCACAGCCTCCATCGCCAACTGGAGACATAGAAAGCAGTATTCTAACAGGGCCTGATGGGCACAGCACATACAGAGTTGCACAGAGTGGGCAGGTGATAGCTCTCTCCAGTTTGCAGGAAAAGGAGAACTCACCAGGGAACACACTGCACTTCAGCCTGGCTTGCTGAAAGCCCCTACCCCTTGGGCCAGCCAAGACAAAAGAGAAGCAGTTTCTCTACAGAGCACAGAATAATGGTCAAGCTGGACTCACAGCCAAGAACCTGAAAATGGACAGATCAGAAGCTTCTCCATTTTACATCTACACCCAGCCAAACCATGGACTCCTCCAACTCTAATCCAGTCATCAATGCAGTCATAAGAAGCCTCACACCAGACCTGCCCACGGAGCTTAAGCATCTCCCTTTCCAGAGTGGCACAGGCTCACAGCAGGCATCAATCCCTGCTGCTCGTGGAGCGGCCAGCCCCTAAGTGCCAAAGCAGGACAGATTGATCCATCCCACGTGCTCCCCCAGACTTGCGCCTTGCCAATTAATGTGAACGTGCGGCTGTGTGCAGAATGCCGACAGGCTCATTTGTCTAAGAGCTAACCCAGCCCTCTAGCAGCTCCCAGCTCTCTTTGAAGAGCTGAAAGCAGCTGGGCCAGGTGGGATCCCTAAGCTAATGTGACTTGAAAACCAAACTGTCCCAATGACCTCTAGCCTAGCCCTTGTTCATTAAGCCTACAGAGGTTAAGTCAGGCAGGCCAAGCAAAGAGGTAGTTCCACCCAGCCCACTGACAGTGAATAAGGGCTTAGGCTGACTTCCAGAATAGCAGCCCAGAAGCCCTGCTGAGGCTTCCACCAGGGCTCAGGGCTTTCCACAGCCACATTTCTGGCCCCAAGTCCAATTTGGTACCTCCCAAGAAGGCCTTAAACACGCACAGCCCAAACTACCTGCTTCCTGGTCATCTGGAGCCACAGAAGTATGTCTGTCAGCTTGTGAGTGACTGGCTGGGAAGCATTCTGGGGATGGGAAAAAGAAAAATGAAAGGGGCTTGGCGCCTGTGGCTCAAGCGGCTAAGGCGCCAGCCACATACACCTAAGGTGGCGGGTTCGAATCCCCAGCCCGGGCCCGCCAAACAATGATGGCT